GATGATTTTATGCTACAATTATAAAATAATCGAATAGTTCCAGAAATTTCAAGAATATTTCTTGATCTACAAACAGTTTCCTCAAGTGGAAGTCAAATATTAGCAAAATTCTAGTTAAAAATAGATGTTGTACTCACGTCAAAGTGAAAACGCATACACGCAAAATTTCATTTATATATTAGGAAATTTTGTGTGCCACGAATATATCAATAATTAATCAACAGATATAGGAGTGATTCATATATAATATTTGAAATTTTTATTAAAATCTTTAATTGTCCTAAGTTAATAAACATTTTCAAATAAAATTCCTCTTTTTGAAATATTTAAAATATGTATTATATTTTTAATATATATTCATTCATATTATATGTACATATGTGCGCACGCTCAAATGCTTAAATCATTGAATGAATTTTGAGGACTTTGTTGTCATTATTTTTTTTTTGCAAGATGTGTACGTTATAGCTTCTTCTTAATACATTTAAATGTACATACATACATGCATATATGCTATCTACATATGCATGTATGACGCACGCTCATAAGTTTAAATCCATGAATGAAATTTGACTTGTTTACTCATTTCGCTACTTACCCCAAATGTCAATAATATTTAAAAGAATATAATCGAATATCTTTTATTATATCTAAAATATCATGACTACCATCAATTTTTACCTTAATACTTTATTTCAAATTAAATTAATAGTAAAAATGCGAAATAACCGTATAAAAATCAAGTTAAAAGAATATGTAATGAAAATTACAACTTATTAAAAGCCAATAAACAAAAAAATGATAATATTAGCAATTTTTGATAATGACTCTCTGCATGCTAACATTTATACTGTAATTATGCCGGATTCATACGCCACGATTAGTATGCTCACTAGGCACACAACCTTTATACAACTGATATGCGCAGCCGATAATAATAAATTCCAAAGCCGCTCGCAATAAAAGTAGTACGCAGTATGTATCATTAGCCTCCCAGAAAAGCCCCAATATAATAAAAAAAGGGGAAATTATCGACCCCCTATTGTTTGTGCGGCAAAAACCATGGGGTTCGACTCCGTTCCGTATATCGGGCAAAATCGCAACGTCTGCGAGCCGTCCTCGTTCAGAAGTACTGCCCTAACTGTTTGAATCCATTCCACACACTATGTGCCGTTACGTCCGCGCGTCGCACCGTGACTTACGGGAATGTCAATGACGATCGGCAACAGAGCTAAGCCTTATAACAACCACCTGCCTTTACAATTCAACGTCTCACATCAGAAGGATTCAGGCCGAATAAATAGAAGCGCAGCACCCCCACCAATAATGCGACCGTTTGTTGCCATAGTACCAACGGTTATGGTGCCTATGGAAGCGAGCGGCCGTCTTTATCTGGTCCGCGCACTTCCGCTCTAACAAGTACCATCGACGAGGATATAGCACGAGAATTGATCGGAGAAACACCAAACATGGTGTTCCTTTCTAGTACGTGGAAAATATGGGATAACTCAAGGAGGAAGTGAATGGCCGTTTCTATTTTGTATAAGAGTTGTCTGTTACTTGTGCATATGTATGTATATGCAGTAACCGCACATAAGAATTGTCCTTTACGTTTAAGCTGTTGGTCTAATCATGCAGCATGTAGAAATTTCGTATCCAAGTGAGAGATAAAATTACTGAACCGAAAGAAATTTTAATTTTTTTAAGAGAAGTGAATCAGTCAACGATTCATACGAGCAAATCGTAGTTGTTGATCGATTAATTTTAAATTTAATCTTTTGACACGTTATTGTTTAGATTAACGAGCAGAAATTAGCTCTTCAAAATCTTATTTATGGTTCACTTTGCTTGAAACTTTTTCATTTTTGGTTCATTCGGTTTGCTTGAACTATTCTATCCTTAAACGAACAACTTTAATTTTACACGGATCTAAGAAAATTGTTTACTTGCCTATTCTATTAAATTACAAATCAGATATAAGAAAATTAAAGGGATGTGTCTGTGAATAATATCCTAAGTGCGTGTTCGCATGTTGGCAAACCGTTTTTGTTTTTTTATTTTTATACTGAAAAACTAGGTACTACCATATCGCTTTCTGCAGATTTCGAGTACATTTAAATGGTTCACATAAGGGTCTGAACTACTTATATTTTTTATTGCTCTAAAGGTAATCCAAAGGCATGGAACTGACTCAAGGCGAAGCCCGCCGAATTCGCTAGTATTATAACATATTTTGTATATATAATAGGCGCTTTGCGCGCTGAAGCGTTGTTCGCTGGCAATGCGGTATCTTACCACTTAACATCACCAACTGAGGGGCGAGAAATACTTGAAAAAATAACTTAACTTTTTATCAAAATTCTATAATTTTGGAGAAATATGCATAGGTCCGATTGGCAATGGCGAATACAGCAGAAGATGGAACGATGTGCTGCACGAGTTATACGATGATATTGACAAAGTTCAGCGATGAATAATTGTAGTCTTCTATTTGTATTCATGACTAAAACCCAATGGAAATGATTCGCATTATAACCTCCTTCAGGTGAAAATTAACATCCATGGGCTACGAAAAAGTCATTTAGGGCTGTCATGGAATCCAAGTCGGTTTTGCTTTTTATCGGAATTGCAAACCGATATTGATTTCATTTGGTGTCATGAAACCGTGTCGGGTTTGCTCTTTTCGAAATGAAACAAAACCGATTTTCGAATCAGCTGTTTTGCATACTTGTATATGTATCTGCAATTTTAATGCAAATTTGTTTGACAAAACTTTATAAAATAATTGATTTAATTGCTCTTTATGAAAGAAAAATAAATAAGATCTACGTATGTAGTTTCAATCTCAAGATTCATAAATTTTTGCTGAAACTTTTACTGAAAATAGTATTTGCGGTTTCCTGAAATTCCCTTAAGTGCAGTACTCTAATAATTATGTCTCTTTTCGTGTGGATGGATGGGCAAGGATTCCTCCTAAATTCTGGAGACGGGGATCGTAAAGTAGGGGCCGATCCTTCTGGCAATCTTCAAAGCTGAAAAAATAAATAAACCTTCTCCAACAAGTAAAGAAAAGAAGGAAATCTTTTAATATCAAATAAAAATAGATTTTACCTTTTTTTTTATCTTACCTTATGTTGCTGAGGCTGAGGTTTCACAAAAAGAGGTGTTTAAAACGGCAACATCAGCCTTTTATACCTTCCACAGAAGGTTGAAGGTGTAACGGAACAAGAATTAACAGGACCCTACCCAACAGGGATGAGTCACGTATTTGTACTAGCAGCAGCGACATCTCCGGGTATAGATTCTGGCTTTGGTGCAGAGTTGCATACTCAAACAGTATGTATGTGACACATCAGATGAAAGAGAGACTGCTGGCAGTTCAGTAGCTGTAGAACTCGACAATTAGAGCATCGATGTAGAGTGAAGAAACAGTGTTAACAGAAAATAAACTTCAAAAAATCATTTTTTTTATCTTGTTCAGCTCCTCCTTATCTCGTCAATCGTAGCGTAAGGACGTCCTTTCATGGGCCTCTTCAGTTTAGGGATCAAGAAAAAGTCACAGGGGTCCAGATCTTGGGAATACGGTGGCTGCGGCATCATTGGTGTGTAGTTTTTGGCCAAAAAGTCGCGCAAAAGCAACGATGTGTGAGCAGGGGCGTTATCGTGGTGCAAAAGCCAATTTTTGTTCTTCCACAAATCCGGGCGTTTCTGGCGGATTGCTTCGCGCAAATTGCGCATAACTTGCAGGTAATATTCCTTATTGACCGTTCTACCCTGTGGAAAGAACTCATGAAACCCACGATTTGTCACCAGTTATGACCCTCTGGAGCAAATTTGGGTCGTCGCGGACAGAGTCCAACATCTCTTTAGCAATGTTAATGCGATGCTGTTTTTGGTCGCAATAGAGCAATTTTGGTACAAATTTCGCGGCGACCCGTCTCATGCCCAAATTATTAATAAAAATCGAATGGCACGAGCCAATCGATATGTTTAGGTCCTCAGCAACTACTCTAATGGGGATTCGACGATTGGTCAATATCATTTTCTCCACTTCATTAATTTTTTCGTCTGTTGTTGAAGTGCCCGGGCGTCCGGCACGCTCTTCGTCGTTCACATCTTGTCGGCCTTCTGAGAACATTTTTTACCACCGACAAATAGCTTCTCCGTATGCCACAGTCAACATTCGGAATGCATCCGCGCACTTAAATTCGCTGTTCACACAATATTTGATACAGGTTCTTTGATCCATTTCTTTGAACAGGTACAACAATTAACTGAACATTCATAATGGCCGCGCTTATCGGCATAAGTGACAGACATGAGTACCAACATAACGCCACAAAAATAACGAGATTATACGTAACCCATGAAAATTCAAAATTCGCGATACTTTTTGAACACGCCTCGTATCTGTTGAGAATTGTCTATGCGTATTTGTATTTACTTCTTAGTTTTTTAAATAATAGTGTTGCAGATATAGTTCATTAATGCAAGAAATATTAGAATGGATAGAAGAAGCGATTGGAGTCGACTCGGACGATAGCGGAAAGGATGAGATATATAATTAGATTACACGTTGAAAAGGGTTGAGTTAATGTTTAATCAAATGTAAACATACATAAAAGAAGTAGCGAAATAAATGCTCTATGTTTTTATTTTAGAAATATTAAAAATCGCGAGGAGAACAAAAAATTGCGAGTGTAAAATAAAGCGGAAGAGAGAAAAAAAAATTAAGAAGGAAAAAATGTCAAATTTATTGAAGAAGGTGTTTTCTTGTGAAGGGCGACACAAAAAAGAAAATTACGATAATTAGCGACAAACTTATCCTCATGTAAACTCAGGACTTGGGAAATCATCAAGGTTTAATTAGTGGAAATCTTAAACTGTAATAGTGTTTATTTTATAGTAAATTTTATTTCATTGCTTTGATTGCATGTATATGAATATCTATAAACAAATATTTAAAAATATGTATCTGAAAGTACGAATATATTTTACAGCTGCGCACATGAGCTTTTTCGGCGCAGAGAAAACGGTGCGTCGCGTTCTTGCCCAGCGTGTAATAAGCTTTTGACATCACGAATACATCTATGTAGTAGTGAAAGCGCTACAAAAGCTAGTGGCGGATCCAGCTGTAATGAACCCAACATCTTTGGATTGAAGGGAAATACTGCTGATGGTTTATTGTCACTCGACACTGTCGATATNATTAACATTTAAATTAAAATTAAAAAATTAACTCCTATTCAATTGAAATTCAATTTGAAGGGAAACCTTCATTCCTGTTTCTTTTGAAATGCAGGGGTGCGAGCTTCTACTAATGCGTTTTAAAGGCGAACAACAAAGTACCATATTATTTATTTTACAACTAATCAATAGTCTAATATTGCAAAACTAACCTGAATAATAAATACATACGAACTAATTATATGCGAAGATACTACCTTAAAATATCGTTAACGGTAGACCACATGTATATAAATAAGCACCTATATAAAAGAAAAATTTAAAAAAACTTCTAGCATAATAGATTTAATATTTAACTTCAAACATTGTTTTACCAAAAACGGCTAGCGTGTAAGCTAATTTCCAAATATTTTGATTTGCTTCGCCTTAAATATTATTTTTTCAAATATGATGGACTAATGTAGTCAAATTTACTAATTCACATAAAACGTATTCGAGATAAATCAAAGCAAGATTAGCAAAAAATTTCCCAACATTTGAGTTTTTTTCCGCTGTCGCGATTATCTAATGCAGTACATGATTTCTAAACTTACGGAAAAGTACAAATAACACTATGAGATATTTCTCTATATATATGGCAATATTTTACAATGTTTTTAAAGATCAAAATTGAATAAAAATAGTTGGAAACTTATGGCTTTCAATGTGGTATACCCATGACTTGCTTCGCTCTGTTCATGGGGTTCAACTTCTCAACAATGGCAAAATAAGTTGTATATGAATTAGCCGTATACGAGTACACCAGATACTCGCAATGAGATTTGCGAACTGGATAGATTTGAATCACATCCGTTGAATTAATATAGAAATACGTATTCATCCTACTACGTTTGCTACTCCACGAGAATTGGAAAGAATAGTGTGATTTGAGAACCAGCACGATTTATAGAGGGTTATGTTCGTTTCGATGTATTAGCGTGCTAAGGCTAAATATTTTATAAATAACATTTTTAATTCCAATAGCGATAAGAAATTAATCAAAGCAGTGATTAGAGATTTAGTGTTTGACGGTGCTATCCCCTCGGCAGCGGTTGCAATAGACATACATATACCAATGCGTGGAAGAATATTAGGCATATTTTGTCAGGTATTTCTTCTAATGTTGGCATATGTATTCTGTTGCCATTGTGCTTTTATAATAAAATTATTACGGCGATTAAATATGAAAATTGTATGTCTTCAGGCCAGATGCCTAAATGTTTTTAATTCACACTGTACCTAAGCTAAAGCTAGGGTGCTTAAATAAATTCGTAAACACATATTTAGCTACCCCTGTGTCTTTTATTGGTTCGGCTATCAATATTCAAGAAGACACCCGAGTTGACACAGATATTAACCAAAAAATTTAAGTAAAATGTATTTATATACGCCATTTAAAAGATGACTTGCTCATATGTTTACAATTAAAAACTAATTTAAATTAGTTAATTTTGGTTTGAGTTGACTTTCGCTGCGGCGAAAATTATTCTTTTCTCGTGAAGCGGTCTAGAACGATACACGTGTTCGTTCAGCCATCTTGTGTTTTATTTCCTTGTTATGGCCTGCTTAAGCGTTTATTTCGCGGTAGACAGAGGTACACCAGCATCATGTGTATGTTTTATTGTGGGTAGAAAGGTTCATTCTCTCGCTACTTCATCTGACATGCAATTGTCTGGGATGTCACTGTGTCCAGGTTTCCAGACCATGGCAGTACTAGATTTAATTGAGAGTTTGTTAATATTGTTTCTGCCACTTTCGACGTGGTTCCGTTACATTGCAAAGAGAAAGGTCGTGAGTGAAGTACAACAAGAGAATTATCATGTGTTTCTCGACAGTCCCGTGATGACTGTGTCTGCGTCGCTGTTTTAAGAGAGAAGAAAATAGGAAATGTCTCTCTTAACGAGAATGCATGCTCTAGGCGTACCTTTTTGCGATGGGGATACCGTTTGAGGGTATTAGAAATCAGTCTACAAATCCTGGTACCTACTAACCAAGGTTCTTTAACTAGCTCTTTCTACTCTGTTATCTCGCAAAAGTGCAGAATGATGGCGCCCGACACTGCTTTGGAATAGTGCAGGTTGATTTAAGTATCTGCTTCAATCTGTTAGATTGAGAGATCGATGGATCTGACCTCCTCTGCCTTGGTTTTCTTCTCTGGATTCTGATACCATAGGGAGGATTGCGGCAGAAGTGATTCTTTTCATTTTTCTCCCAGCGGGAGAAAACCGTCACGATGTCTTTGGGTAATGAGAGTGTTTGGCTTTCAGGAGCCGGGCCAGCACGGATCTCATCCCACGGGCCGCAAGACGTACTCAGTCCACTCGTGGTGGTTGTTGTTGTTGTAGTGATTCTCTAACCCCGCTTATGGACAGGTTAATCAATCTAAATCACCGAGGTCGTCTAACGGGAGGTCCAGGAAACGTACTGTTTCAAAGGGATCGGGCCAGAGTTAGAAGGGAGTTGAATCCTTCAGTCTCAGGAGCATGTGAAAAGGTAGTGTGGTGCGGAGACTGTATACATGCAGGTCATACCTTGGGTATGTTGAGGACGAGACTGGATAAGTTGGAGTTTAACCTACTACAGTATCCATACCTAAGTTGCGCCTGTGCCACGCAGGTCTCTCGAGGCAGCTCTAATTTCTTCGTCTGCTATGGGTGGTGACTTTTCTCCGAGTACGCCATTCGTAAGAAGGGAGTCTTTTGACTGCTGCCGACCGGCCGAGCAATTTCTTTGTGGCGGCACTAGAGTCTTTCGGCAACTTTGGTCGTATGCGGAGTGAAGAAGCGCAGGCTGTCAAGTGTGTCTCCCAATATCTTTGGGTTATTAATGGCCAGAGTTCTCACGTCGTCGACCTTCTCATCTGGTCTGTATGTCTTTGTCCAGCTAGTGGAAAGGGTGGCTGAGNTTTAAAACGGCAACATCAGCCTTTTATACCTTCCACAGAAGGTTGAAGGTGTAACGGAACAAGAATTAACAGGACCCTACCCAACAGGGATGAGTCACGTATTTGTACTAGCAGCAGCGACATCTCCGGGTATAGATTCTGGCTTTGGTGCAGAGTTGCATACTCAAACAGTATGTATGTGACACATTAGATGAAAGAGAGACTGCTGGCAGTTCAGTAGCTGTAGAACTCGACAATGAGAGTATCGATGTAGAGTGAAGAAACAGTGTTAACAGAAAATAAACTTCAAAAAATCATTTTTTTTATCTTGTTCAGCTCCTCCTTCGATGCCGCCTTTATCTCGTCAATTGTAGCGTAAGGTCGTCCTTTTAAGGGCCTCTTCAGTTTAGGGATCAAGAAAAAGTCATAGGGGGCCAGATCTGGGGAATACGGTGGCTGCGGCATCATTGGTGTGTTGTTTTTGGCCAAAAAGTCACGCAGAAGCAACGATGTGTGAGCAGGGGCGTTATCGTGGTGCAAAAGCCAATTTTGGTTCTTCCACAAATCCGGGCGTTTGCTTCGCGCAAATTGCGCATAACTTGCAGGTAATATTCCTTATTGACCGTTCTACCCTGTGGCAAGAACTCATGAAACCCACGATTTGTCACCAGTTATGACCCTCTGGAGCAAATTTGGGTCGTCGCGGACAGAGTCCAACATCTCTTTAGCAATGTTAATGCGATGCTGTTTTTGGTCGCAATAGAGCAATTTTGGTACAAATTTCGCGGCGACCCGTCTCATGCCCAAATTATTAATAAAAATCGAATGGCACGAGCCAATCGATATGTTTAGGTCCTCAGCAACTACTCTAACGGGGATTCGACGATTGGCCAATATCATTTTCTCCACTCCATTAATTTTTTCGTCTGTTGTTGAAGTGCCCGGGCGTCCGGCACGCTCTTCGTCGTTCACATCTTGTCGGCCTTCTGAGAACATTTTGTACCACCGACAAATAGCTTCTCCGTATGCCACAGTCAACATTCGGAATGCATCCGCGCACTTAAATTCGCTGTTCACACAATATTTGATACAGGTTCTTGTATCCATTTCATTGAACAGGTACAACAATTAACTGAACATTCAAAATGGCCCCGCTTGTCGGCATAAGTGACAGACATGAGTACCAACATAACGCCACAAAAATAACGAGATTATACGAAGCTCGCGAAAATTCAAAGTTCGCGATACTTTTTGAACACGCCTCGTATCTGTTGATAATTGTCTAGCCAGTCCGAGCTTACACGGGGATACTTTCTGTCGACGAAACACTCGTTTGTTGGGGAGGGGGCGACGACGCAGGCGACAGCGCACCGTGTCGCTGTGCTCGTTCGACACGGTTTGTGTTTCTTTTCGTATCTGTAAATGCTGGCGTTCCTTTTTATTTTGGTTTTCCCTTTCAACTGATTGTAGGTGTCTTAAATTTCAAACGAATAAATTGAAACTTCCATTTGTATGTGCATGCAAACATATGTATACAATATGTCTGTGCGTATTTGTATTTATTTCTTAGTTTTTTAGATAATAGTGTTTTCAGATATAGTTCATTAATGCAAGAAATATTAGAATGGATAAAAGAAGCGTTTGGAATCGACTCTGATGATAGCGAAAAGGATGAGATATATAATTAGATTACACGTTGAAAAGGGTTGAGTTGATGTTTAATCAAATGTAAACATACATAAAAGAAGTAGCGAAATAAATGCTCTATGTTTTTATTTTAGAAAGATTAAAAAGCGCGAGGAGAACAAAAAATTGCGAGTGTAAAATAAAGCAGAAGAGAGAAAAAAAAATTAAGAAGAAAAAAATGTCAAATTGATTGAAGAACGTGTTTTCTTGTGAACGCGAAGGGCGACACAAAAAAGAAAATTACGATAATTAGCGACAAACTTATCCTCATGTAAACTCAGACCAAGTAATTTGTGTGTTCACAAGAGGGATAATAATCTGTATGTTTGTAACAAAGAAGCGAAGCAACAAATTTTGAGACTTATATTTAAGAATCCAGCGTTCGAGCTCGAAGGATCTGGGAAATCATCAAGGTTTAATTAGT